CCCCAACCTGCCCAGATAAAAGGCTTGGTTGTAATTTTCATTGGTGAAGGAGTCATGTTTTGTTCAAATTGCATTCTGCTTCAAGCATTCACAGGAGGATTTGTTGAAGGACCTGCAGGTCTGCTTTAATGATTCTGAGCTTTCAGAGTAAACCTTATGGGCTGGAAATGCACAAGCGACTATATCGCAGAGGACTGGAGAATGACAAACCCCCTGTCTGTATGTTTTTAAGGCTGAGTTTTCATTGATCTCCCCTCCAGGTTGCCTGACCTGTATACACAGTGAAGATGGAGGTCAGGGGATAATTGGGTCCTGGGAGTGGAAGTCTCCAAGCATGTTTAGGACTGAACAAGAATCAGGAAACAGCAAATGATCAAATTATCAAAGAGAAGGGACGATTTGAGTGCACAGATGAAATATAGGGACCCTGACTTTGTTTCCTTTCTTTGGCACAGACTCCCTCTGTGAGATTGGACAAATCATTTTGATATTTAAACACATTCAAGACTCTGTCCCTGTGCCAATTCCCCATCTGTAAAATGTGGGGGATGTAGCAGTCAAATGTTGTGATTAGGAGAATAATATATGCGCTTCAATTGAAACACTCAGCAGCGTGTTGAAATAGAATTCCTCAGAAAGAGCAACATTCTTCTGCAAAATAATCTCTTGTGATAATTAGCCAAACCTCCCGAACTGGAGTGTTTAAAACTAGATCAATCAAAATAGTAGAAAACATACCGCAAGTGATCTCAGTGAACGAGGAGGTGAGGTATCGGCGGGTCTTTTCCATCTCTTAGCACTGTAATTCAGAATTTTGCTGCTTGTAGGCACAGTAGCTTTTTCTTTTCATCAGCCCTCAGTTTTCTGTCCACACAAGAGAGCACTTGTGTGAAAATCCCAGCAGAAGGAATCTCTGCTGAGTACAAATAAGGACGCTGCCAGCAGCACCAGCATGTGCCTTTTCACACTGTCCTGCTGGTTGCTTGTACCCGATGCTGGTGGGTCTGCTCTGCCAGCAAGAGCACGCTCCAGCTTTGATTTTCCTTTGTCCCTGTTCCTTCAGGTGGGAAGCTGGCAGGCAGTGGCAGAGAGGTTTTGGTGGGGGATTGATACCATTAGTTCATTGCAAGTGGGTAATGCAGGTCTTGGGGTGGGAACTGGTACAAATTGCTGCTCTCGTGATGTTGAATCAGACAGACAAGCAGTGGGAGCTGGGAGCTGAGACTGCTTTTAAAACAGACACAGAGAGATTATGGGAAGACTTGAAAGCCTGTAATGGCAGAGGAATGAACCTGCTGATCCAAGAGCTCCCTTGCAGGTTTGTCACCTAGAACTACCTTCTGCAGGCGCCTTCATGGGATGTCACAGCAAAAGTGACACTTGGCTCTCCAGATCAAGTCCTCACTTGCACAGAGTCGATACGGTGATGCCCGGTCTGGACCCCAGGGTGGGTGGCAGAGAATGTCTTGCTATCCTGAATGTTATACACCTCTGCCTGCGCCGCTCAGCTGCCCAGCCCAAGTTACTGGATAATTTTATGATTTGGATAAATACCCACATCTCAGTACCGACTGCTACCCCTGAGAGACCAAAGGTCCCCAGAACAACTCACCTCTCTTCCAGATGTTCCCAGCTCATTTCTCATGTGCATTTTAAGGCACAGGGCTCCTGACTATCAGGTGTGTTAATGTTTTGACTGAAGGCCCTGTTTCTTCCCCTTTTGTGCACATATATCACTTGTTCTGCTGACTGAGTTGTTTTAACTTCTCTGCTTGATTGAATGCAGCAGGCCAAGTGCCAACCCTTCCCTGCCAGGATTTCTGGTCTTAATGCTGAGATAAGACTAAAATCCCAGGTACTTTCTTCTGGTGGTTTTAATCATAAATATTTTTTCTCGACACCTCGCTTCAGTTCATGCCATGCCATGTCAGACGCACTCCTCTCTGGAGAATTTAAGGAGGGTATTTCAAAGGAACCAGAAGTTTAATCTTTCTTGTAGAGTTGGCTGCCACACAGAAGCTAACTGGAAATTGTGAGGTGTTTTGCGCTTGAGAAAGCCTTTCCATTTTACTGTCTTTCTAAATCAAGCTATCTAAGCTGTGTATTGGTTTAGCATCATATAAACTAGAAGAACAGACTTGCTGCGTGCTGTCGCTCTAGTTACTTTTTGCCAAGACTGGCCCTGCCTGGCAAGATGTCCTCAAGATGTTTATGGAGTCCACAGAGAAAAATGGACCCTTGAAACGGAAAAGGCCAAGGTTCATGTGCTGTAGATATCTTGTATTGCACTAAGTTGCTTCCAGAGCTCTGAAGGGTCTTAGCTGCTGAAATGCAGACAAGCATCTATTGTGATCCCAAAGGGATAACAGCACTACCCTACCCCTTTAAGGTGCTGTGACATTAAATATAGGCTCTATGAATGCTTCCCTCTGAATATTTCTCCATCTCCATCCTTCCCTGGGATGCCATTAACAAGTTCCTTACTGATACAGCAATGTTTTGCTTTACCCTGACTCCTCTCCCAGTCCCGTCGGTAGCATTCATAGTGGTGGTGGCACAGATGCCAAGGTGGGAAAGCCATAGCTCAGTTCCCTGGGCGTGCTTAGGAAAAGCTGTGGGGTTTTTCCCCCTGTTTCTCTCAAATGTTTAAGTATTGGGTGGTGTCACCTTTTCGAAGAAGGACGCAGCTCCATCCAGCCTGTGTTCTGCCTCAGGGATGGCTGTGAATGCTGGCAGGTGAAAGGAGGTGTTTATGAAGAAGAGACAATCTGAAACATGAAAGACTAGCCAAAATCTGCTAAAAATTTACCTGTGCATTCCTTTTGCTTCATTTTCTTCATTGAATGCGTATCAGCAGGGTACTGGGATGCAGTTTGGATGAAAAGTGTGTAAGGGAAAACTAACTTGTGTCTTTTAAATGCCTTTCTGGTCCTCAGCCTGAAATACAGCAAAAGGAATCTTTATTTTTGGAGGGTGCTGAGCCCTGAGCCCTCTGGGTCCCTTTGGGTGCCTCAGATGAGGTACCCAGCACTGCAATCCTCCCTGACTGTGTGGTTTGTAGGATAATCTCTGTTCTACCCACCTCCGCCCCAGACTTTCTGATATTTCTCTGGCACAGGTACCTCTGTCTAGTTCCTGACAGGGGATGTATTTCTTTTGCTGCCTTCCCATCAGAGGCCCATTGCCAATTCAGGTTTCACTAGAAAGTGCTGTGCCAGCTCTTTGATATTCAGGAGCTGTGGGGTTTTGTGTCTGTTTCCTGACCTAGCATGACTCTACTAATAATGCAAGAACTTCAGTGCTGATATCTTGGCAGCCTAATATAGGAGGTCAGTCCGTAAATATAGTTACAATTTTCTTTGCCTCAGCAAAGACAGTAAGTCGAACACAATGTAAACAAGGTGGTTGGATCACTTCCCCCACCAGGAATATTTGTAGTTATGCAGGCAAATTGAATGGGCGTGATTAAATCTCACGCTCCAGCTTGGCAGCTGATTAGCTGCAGGGGCCAGGCAGGAATTTCCTTTCAGTTCCAGGGTTTTTTTTTTTCCTCCTTCATGCTTGTGCCAAAAGTGGTTTGCATTTTTAATTACTCTTCTTCACACCCCTGTGAAGAGCGGAGATGAGAGATAGCACGATCCACAACTGGGGAAACTGAGGCATCAGGAGGTGGCAGCCTGCTTGGGATGAGAGAGGCGTTTGCCTTTAGACTTGAAGAAAGGAGAACTGAAATCTTCTCCTGGGGTTTTTGTGGGTCTAATGAACTCGTACCTCATTCTCTTTGACACACTGAAGTCTTGGTTGCCTGCAGGGACAAAAGGGTGCTTTTATGTATTAGTATACAGTCACTGATGGGGAAAATAAATCTTTCTCCTCTAGAAATGTTAATTTATTTATTTTTGTCTTTTATCACTCTGTTCCTCCAATTTCTGAGCAGAGCAGCCTGTATATCTGTTTCTTCTCTTTGTATGGAAAAGCACTTTGCTCTGAAATAGCCTCAGGTGTTGGCCGTGGCCAAGGCAGAGAACTGGTTCAGCTCCGTAAATGACACATTGCTTTGTCCCTAATGGGCAAATTAGTGAATTTCTGTGTGGATTCACCTGCAGTGGATGTACACTGAGGTAGTTAAACTGATTTTGATTTCTTTACCTGGATGTACATCTGAAGAGCTGGCCTTGTAACATCAGGTAGAGGAAAATTTTTTTGCATGCTTTGGTGCAAAGAAGAGACCGCAGATGTGCTGACACAACTGTCACATACTAGTCTACCTCACCTGCATATTGCTAATGCTGCTGCTGACAAAACACGGAGAGCAGCAGGGATCAGCTGAGTCTTCACCCTCATTCTCAGTATGTTGGGAATGGAGAACGGGCCTTTCCCAGCTTCGTTAAAGCCTAAAGCCCAATGGGAACCGGTGTATTTTAGATCTCCCTGGGTGGGGAGGGTTTCTTACTTAGGTGGTGGATGATTTAATCTTTATGATTCCTCCAGAAGCTGGTGTTGTGAATCCAGAGTGGACAGAAACTTCTGATGTGTGGTCTTGAGCCAGCAGCTTGATGGCTGGCGAGAGGCAGCAATTCAGGAATACCCGACAGCTGCCCATACCTTTTCCTGCCCAGCCTGCTGTGATGGTAGGAACAGGGGTGTCCAGCTGGAGTACGCTGAAGCGTAAGGCTGGGGCCAAAGCCTGGCTTACTAGGCATTTCAGTTTCTGAGATCAGTGTCTAAATAAGATGTCTGACTCTGATCATTAGTCTAGTCTCAAAGCTTAATTGCAAATAAACAGTATCTTAATCAGTTTATGGTTTCCAGTGTTCTCTCGTTGAATGTCTCTGTGCTGGCATTTGGAGAGCATTCATCGTAGTGGTAAATGAGTGTCTGTTTGGGCTGCACATGATATAATTATCAGCTGATCCTGTAGCATCATGTGATAATTCTCATTCTGGCCATCTGAAATAACTCACTCTAACAACTGTGCTCTTCTTACTCGTCTCTTTCAGTTCCCAAGAAGCTTCTGCATGAAAACCAGCCAAGACCAACCAATTACCAAGGATTTCAGAAGCCACATTTTCCACTGCGTCCAAGAGTGTTCGATCCCAATGTTATAGGGGACGGCGTGTTCCTTTCTGATGTCTCTCCTTCCAACATAGGGCGTGCTCTACCAGGTAGCTATGACTATTACGACCTAACTGTGTTGTGGTAGCTGTTCCTTTCTATCCCCCCTTATCTGGGTTTCTGCATTCTTCCCAAACTCCATCCATGTCACAGTCAGAAAGAGAAGCTTCAAGGCGTGATCAGCGACAGAATAAAGTGAGCTGTGAAAGTCACACGGGGTCTCTTGAAATAGCCATGCATGTCAAAACTCATCACAGAAATACTTTGCAGACCTGTTTAATGCAGTGACAAAAAAAAAACAAACAAAAAAAAACCAACAGGACAGAGACAGTGGATCTGCCTCACAAAGGACAGAGAAGTTTTCAACTGAACTTTGAAATATGATGCTATTTTCATAAAATGCGAAGACAAGAGATATGAATAAAGTCAAATCTTAGCTATGTATAGGGATAGGTGAGTAGGAGGAAGGGATGGTGTATGAATAAAGGAAAGCACAGGTGAGCATGTATTAGGTTAGTTGATGGTTTTGCGTTTTGTTTCCCAACACGCAGGAGATGGTACGTGACATTACTTCTGAAATTCCCAGCCTCTGCTCTCAGAGATTCAGCTCTAGAATGGGTATGGGCATTGTGGGTATTGTCTCTGTCTACAGTCCTGGCAAAGTTAATCAACAGCCTGGATAATCAATCCAATCAGATAATAAAGAGTTGTCAGTAACATTTATCAGTTTGGAGGCCTTATTGAAAAATTGTCAAGGCAAATAATTTAGAGTCAGGCTGAAATAAATTCGGTGATCCTGGTGATTCTTTTAAGCAAGAAAAAAAATCCTGAACTCATTTCCATTCATCTAAACATTTCACTTCTACAAATGACACCTTTTGTTTAATTTTCACATTGTTTATTCATTAATTTTTAAAATATGCGCTCCTTTTCAAACAAATATGTAATTTTGAAACTAAAGCTAAAAGAATGTTTCAAAAATAGCAAAAGGAAATATTTGGACATTTCTGTAATGTCCCTTCCCCTTTTACTTCTTTTATTAAAACTATTTGCTAAAGTCAGCCTGGCATCTTCTATGCTCAAAAAGTGTTGTTGGACAGATTTACTGCTGGCTGAAATAATCTTGCTCAACTTTGATATAAAGTCACAGGGAAACAGCTCAAGTGACTGGGAACAGCTAAGAAAGGATGGTGAAGAGAAAATGAGTAGTAGGTGAGCTGATAAGGCAAAGAAAAGGTCTTCAAAGCTAGCAAGGAGGAAAGGGGGTGTCTTTTAGTGTGGTCCTGGAATGAATGACAGACTGGGGAACCGTGTAGCGTAGAAACACGTGGCCCTTGTGAAATTCTGTTTGTTTGTCTTTTCCCTCCTGCATAATAACCCCAATCATTTTCAGTGTTCCCTGTCTGTGCTTGTACAATCCTGCAGATGACAAAACCAGTTCTGTGGTTTTGTGGTGCTCTTTGCTGGAGTGCAGTGTATGCAGATGAGTATTCATTTTTAAAACTTGTTTGATTGCATCTGTTCTTTGGACAAGTCAGAAATAAAAAAGATTATTCTTATGTCTTACATGAGAGGAGTTATGCCTTATTGTCTCTCCCAAAAGACACCATTATTGCCCAGCATGGTTTAGAAGGGATGTCCAAAACCCAGCAGAAGTGATTCATCTGAGTGGCTCATCTGAGCCTTTCCTGGCTGATCTAGCACAAGCACATGGGGAAGTCCCCACTGAGAATACAATTTAAACCTTGGTTCTGGTGAGATCCAGGATATGAGCACCGCTTTATATCCTACCATCTCTGTGCAGCTGCAGCCCAGCCACATTAAATGGACTTCAATGCAGAGTTGTAGAAAAATCTCAAAGACCTAGCAGGAACCTGGAGCCATCTAACTTGGCAGTCCTCTTTACCATTAGGTTTGTAGTTATGAAATATATATGAGATTATATCCTGGTGGTGCCCTTCACTTTCATTGATTGTAATGGGATTTTAGATTAACTATTTCAGAGCCAGACCTCAGTATGTAGACAGCTTGGGCAGGATTCAGTTACCCCCATATAAACGTCTCATTTGAGGTGACCTGTGATGTTCACCTGGTTTCTAGATGCTGCCCTAGAAGGGTGAGAGTTTTCCCTCATCCTTTCTCATACCTGCCATCTCTGCATGGGTGTCCTGCTGACCCTGGGGTGTCCTAGATGTGTGGGAATGAGCGAATGCATCAAGTTTTAGGTGTCTGCTATGGGGAGGGCATGGTTCTCTAGGATCTGTCAACTAATGGCAGGACTCAGTTGCCTCAGTTTAGATGCATAGTACCCAGGACATCTTCAGGAGGACAGTGGTTTGGTTTTTAGAAATGAAGAATTTACCCTGCTTCCATGGATTTCTTTGCAGGAACTGTGACAGAGAAAAAGCCAACCACTTGTTCGGAGATAGATTAACCTGACAGGGAGAAAATAGGAAAGATTAGAGGGCATGTTGGTATTTCTGATGCCTGCATCTGATTTAAAAGATTTTCCAAAGCTTTGCTATTGCGCTCTGTGCCTCAGTTCCTCCATTTGTACAACTGATCCTCAGTGATCTCTGTTCTCCTAAAACAAGAGGCTCTTGCGATATTTTTCCCTTTTGGGTCTGGCACCCAGGCACCCACATTTGAAAACTTTGCTTCTGGGCCAGTCATTAACACCTTGTAGCTTGTAATGTGTGGCTTTCCCAACGCTATGCCGCTATTCGCTATTCGGTGGCAGAGATACAACCGTGCCCGCGTTCCCTGGTGCTGATCCCTTAACAGCAACACCTGGACATCCATCCCTGCCGCTTCTCCTCCGAAGCAGATTAGCAGTTGGTACTGCTGCATGCATATTGATGCACTCAGTCCCTCTCCATCCAGTATTACCTGTTCTTCTGACATCCCTCAATTTCTGTTACTGTTCCCCTGGGCTGAGCTGCTCCCTGGCATGCACAGCGGGAAGCTGAACATGATGGGTTTGCAGGGAAAAGAGACGGATCGGGCAGCCAGTGAACACAGACCATCTCGCATCGTGGCTGCTGTCGGAGTGCTTTTGCTTGCATGGCACTGATGGCATTATCAGAGATGGACCTGGCAGCTTCCCGAATTTAATACCTGCAGATAAGCTACAAATCTGAGATTTTATGTTGTGCTGCTTGCTTTTGGACAGAGCCAGACACCCAGGGAAAGGAGCCTGGAAAACTATAATAGCTACAGATAAGCAATCACATGGGTGATGGAACTGGATGCTGTGCACCAACTTTTTTTGTGTGTTTAAAACAATTAGTGTTTTGTGAGTAGCGGGGGTGTCTGCCTGCAGATCAAGGTGCCGGGAGCACTCAGCAGTGAGCTGATAAGGTCTGAAAGGGTCTCTTTGAGCCTCCTGGAATTAGCTGCCTCCTTAGCTCCAGTCTTTAACAAATAAAATCAAATCATTAACCCATGTTCACTCACCTCTCCGAAGGGGAAGTGGTGTCTGGGTGAAACGCAATACGAGCAGGCTTCTGAAGGAAGTCGTAAACTCAGGTCTGCCCTTCCCGCGAAGGCTGGAGAGAAAGCACGTCTGTTTGCCAGGTGTGGATGGATCGCTACGGTGCGACACTGGCAGAGGGTTGCCAGCTCTGCCTGTGTTTTCCAAGCCTTATTACAAGCTTAGCTGAACCTGCTGTTGATAAAGACTCCTTTGATTTACATAAGAGAAAAGAAACCTGATGGTATATTTACTGTAGCATGGGTGGGTGTGTCTAAGTGGTGACATGAACGAGCAGGAGACGGGGAAGAGAAGATGCTGCCTGCATGCAGACAGGGTATATGCACAGTGGAAGTTACCTGAAAAGGTTTAGTTGCCCCCCCAAAAGGGGCAAATTTAGGTGACTTGCTGTTGAGTGGCTCCGGATTTATGAAGGCGGATGCTGACCTGGTGGGGATGGGGCAGGGTAGGTTGGGGCATGTGCCTCATTCCTCATTCCCTTTCTGTTTCAAAGCAGAGAAGAAGAAAGGGCGATCGGCCACCTTCTACCCTCTAGACAACACCCCCTTCCAGCTCCCTGTGGATGAGACACAACCGCCGGCGGTCAACAGCAGCATGGAGCCTGTGGGCGTTAGCACAGAGATGGCACTGCTCAGCAACATCCTAGCAGCGTATGCCTTTGTCACAGGTAGGTCTCGTGACTGCCGTCTCACTGGGCTCTCACAAGCTCTTTGTGGACCCTCCATTGAGCCTACGGTCACCTGAATCTGCCTCTTTGAACTGTTTGTATTTTTCATTCCTTTCTCGGCAAATTGAAAGACCTGAGCAGGGCAGCTCTAGCAGACAGCGTGTAACAGGGTTTATTGTGCTCTGCTTTCCACTGGATTTGCTCTCATCTGGAGTTAAATAACAATGTAATCTTACGTGTGGTATTGTTCCTAATGTTCCATTTTCCTGGAGATCAAAGCCTGGCTCATTAGAGAGGCAAGCTTGTTGTCCTGTAATTTGGAAAATAAGCAACACTCAGATCATTACACTGCTTGAGAGAATTTGGCTTATCTTCAGTAGAAGTGTGAAGATGAAGTAAGTTGAGAGTCTGCTTAATTGTGTATTTAAATCTAGTTTAGAGTAAGATTTCCTTGGATTGCAGTTTAGCTTTCACCCACATGTGTCTTTCAAGTAGCAGAGGAGCGGTCTTCTAATAAGATTCACTTTAAAAGCTGAAATAAAGACTGTGTGCCCTACTGAGTGCTTGGGGTCAATACCATTGATAGCAAAAAGCAGAGCAGAGGCAGGTGATCTAATGCTAATATTTCCCATTCCACTGTTGCGTGATCTACCTTGTCAGCAGTAGAGATCGCCTACAGAGTTGCAGGACCTAACCCCCCCGAAAAAGGAGCACTGGCTGAATTGCATCAGATGCACTAGTTCAGCATACTTCAGGCCAATCTGTGCTGCTTTCCCCAGAAGGAGCACCCTGGTTTCTGGGTAACTAGTCCCCTGAAGCAGGACATGCTGTCTGTGGTCACTTTTTCTTATGGGACTGCAGTGTTCTCCACTTGTTTAGTGAAAAGTCTGTGTGCTTATTACCTCGCAATGCTTATTGACAAGAAATATTACCTTGCTAGTAATATTAATGTGTTGCTCTTTTACCACATGCTGTTAATGATTCTGTGTGCTGCGGCCAGTCTGCTAACACCGCTGTAATGCAGTTATGCTGTTCTGGAGCACTGAGGTCTATGGAACTAAAACTCCAATGTTTGTGAGCTAGTTTTTCATGTCTGTGTGCCATTCAGTCTTGCTAATTCATTAAATACAGACATATTCTTGTTGCCATGCTCTTGCTCCTGCTTAATTACCACCATGCTGCTACAGACAAGTATTTGGATTTGAAACAACTAACTTGGGCTTTGCATTTTGGAATCACTGAGTAGATTAGTAAGAGTGTTTCTGCACATTTCCTTCTAAAAGGACAATGAATCCAAAGTTCTGCCCTTCTACACGTCCAGTGGTGGCATCAGGACCCAGCTTTTCCAGTCACCTTTAAGAAGCTTGCAGCTTAAATGGAATTAGTAGTATTCTTCATGAAAGATAGCTGAGTAGGATATATTTTTTCTTGCATGGGCTTCTCTAAGGAAAGATTAGAAAAAGCAATGAATCTTATCACTCTCTACAATGACCTGAAAGGAGGGTGTAGTGAGGTGGGCGCTGGCCTCTTCTCTAAAGTAACAAGTGATAGGACAAGAGGAAATAGCCTCAAGGTACACCAGGGAAGATTTAGGCTGGATATTAGGAAAAATTTCTTCACTGAAATGGATATTAGTAAAAATTTCTTCACTGAAAGAGTTATCAGACATTGGAACAGGCTGCCCAGGGAGGTGGTTGAGTCACCATCCCTGGATGTGTTCAAGAAACGTGTAGATGTGGTGCTTAGGAACATGGTTTAGTGAGTTAGGAGGTGTTGGTTGGACTTGATGATCCTTGAGGTCTTTTCCAACCTTAATGATTCTATGATTCTATGATTCTGCCTATCACTCTTCTCCCCTCTCTTACCTACAGCTGCCATTTTTGGTATGAAAATGTCTTCATTCCCAACCTTACTGAAAAATAAAATGCTGTTAACATTATTTTCCCCATCTGAACAGTAATGGGCAGCAGAAGGTTGTAGGATTTATGGTCGGATACAGTTGGGACTAGGATTCAGGGCTGCTGCTGCCACTACCTCATGGACTTTGCTCCCTTTTACGCAGCAGAACTGTTTGACCCTGCATTGATTTTGTCGGGCACAAGGCCTCCATTCATCCTCTTCACAAGGTGTCACTCTTGGCAAGAGCCTCCAGATTTTCCTGTAGCACAAATAATAAATAAGGACGGCTTTAACTGTCTTGTTGCTGTGGGATTTGCTTGCCCTCTCATGATGTGGTCTCCTTGTGATGTGTTCACACCCACTGGATGTCAAACAGGTAAAACTCAGACCTCACAACTTTGGTTTCCAGTGAGGAGTTCAGGAGCTTGTTGCTCATGTTTTCCAGTGCACAAAACCATGGCTGCTAGATGAGTTTTAGTCTCAATGAGAGATGTGTTCAGTTCATTATTTGTACAAAAATAGTTGATGGCTGCCCCATGGATTGAAAGAGCAGATGCCCTAAGCCATCTTCATCTGCTGCATGCAATTTAGCCCTCTGCTTTTAGTGAAGAGGATGGATTTGGCGTGATTTACTTTGTTATATGTGAATATGGAGAGGTTTTAGATTATGAGTTAAAAGACAAGCTGTGTCACAGGGCACAGATATTATCTGCACAAAACTAGAGCACTGCAAAGCCGTGCCCTTTGTACTGCAGATTTGGACCATCAGAACAGTTGGAATATTTGCACTCACCCGAGTTTGGGACCCTGAGGGCGACTTAAGCCACAGCAGCTGTTGGTGTCCACAGAGGAGCCATTATAGTGGCTCAGGAGAGGCCGGGTATCGGGTGGCCGGGGAGGGCTGGTTCTGGTTCACACGTCTTCCACCTGCTCCTGACCGCAGATCCGGTGCCACAGGGAAACATTAGTGCAAGAACTGCTCTGTTTCGTGATGTAAAAGTGTCCCTCAGGTAAACTCTGCAGACTGAAAGTGCTGCATTCAGGGCTTCCCTGCGCCGGTGACTTGGCTCAAAATGGGACTTTGTAAGAGAAAATTGTGAATAGACAGAGGCAACGTATAACGATGTTTTTTGTGTTGTGGCAGAGGGTAGTGTGTACCCTCCGACCCACTCAAGGAAAACGAAGCTACGGGCACTTGGTATTTTATGGGTAAAGTGTGTGCTTGAAAGGACAATCCACTATTTTCCTGCCTCCTAGTAGAGGGGTTTCTCTTAGCCTGGGGAGAGCATCCGCAAATCAGTGGGATCCCCTCTGTGTTCACTGATGTCTGCATCATCTGCACAAAGTGGCAGGTTTGGGTGGGCAGCTGCTGATGTAGAGCCTCCAGACATGCGGAGTCTTGCAGTGCACAGAGAAGTGCCAGTATTAGCAAAACCTTCAATGCTTATTTCCACCACCTTTTGGACTGATGTTCCCATATAAAAGCTGGGAACATTCCTGTTGAGCAGTGAAAAATCACAGCACAGCAGGAAGCAAAGCCTCTTTGCTGGAGTGGTGGTTTTCACCATCAAATCTGTTTGCAGCTATCATCGTGGTTAGGAGTATCAAAGCCAGGTAGATGTTAGTTTTATCCCAGCTTCCAGAACCTTGAAAATAACATTTCTTCAGAAATAAGGAGAAAGAGTGAACAGTGTCAATGAGGAGTGAATTCATCAGCTGATCAAACAAATAAATACTGTTTAGAGTTTGGTCCTGCAAAAGACTCAGGGATACCCTTAATTTGAAAGTTGATTTTCTTTATAGAATTTGGTTTTTAATCATATGCAATCTCTGCCTGCAAACCTCAGACTTACTATTTGTCATGGACCTGTTCCAAAACCTGTCTGAGTGTTTGGAAAGACTTCACCAGCCTCGGTGACAGCTGGAACTGTCTTTGCAGTCACAGTCTACTAGCAAGACCTGAACCATCCCTAGTGGTTGTATAAATATTAAATATTCAAGTTGTATCAGAGCACTTCCAATGCCTCCCTTTGGGCAGGGGACTTATTCCAGTTTTGTCATTGCATTCAGGCTGAAGCAGTTGGAGGGAAACCTCCACAAATCCCTGTTTTATTCTTCTTCCGCAAGCAGAGCTTTGCTGCCAAGTTATTAACAAGGGGCTTCCAAAAAACAACCCGGGGGAGATCATTCCAACTTTTAGATTGCTTGCCCTGAGCCGTATTAATAAGGAGCTCCTGGAGAGCTTCCTCTGTTCTACCGGGGGATTTCGGCAGCCTGTGGGGCTCACTGTAAATTCCCTAGAAGATATTGCTCCTACTGTTTTTCTGGCCATTCTTGATGCTGAACCTTTTCCTGGGGCCCTCTGAAATTTTCCTCCCCACTGAGGTTTCTGAATGCATGAAGCCATCACAGGAAGCCAGCAGCGTTAATGCCTAGATCGGTTTTTATTTATTGAAACAATTTATTATAATAGCAATAACAACCTTGGCCTGGGGCATTTCCTGGGGAATTAATGGCAGTCTGGGCTGATGATCCCAGCAGATTGTTAGCCCTCAGGAAACAGGCTCCGTAATTGCTCCTGGTTTGGTTGGAAAAACAAAATAAAATGTGTTTCTAATTTTTGGCCAGTTTGAGCACCTAGAAAATGGTGGCTTTTGTATAGAGGGTTATAAAGAGCATATATCTTTTGTCAGCATGGATTAAATTCAGACTTGAATCAGTGACATTTTCATCAATGCTTTCAGTCCAAGAAGAGAAATACCAGGAAAGGGAAAGGTAACCCCAGCTAAAGAGATTGACAGCAACTAGGTCCTGCTAGAAGTTTAGGAGAAAAGCATATCTCTGAGCGGTCATCCCCAGCTTTAAAAAAGTGACACTGGTCAAAGTCCATGTGTTATCAGGTGTACACACACACACACACATGAATGCGTATCAAAATCATGTTAACTCCTGCTCCATACAAGTTAAAGAGTTTTTTGAAATATACTCAGTGTTTTGAGGAGCTTCATTGTTGTCATGATGGATCTGAAACACCGTCGATTTTTTGGAAGATGGTGAACATCCCTTTGCTGAAGACTACACTCCTTTTTAGTCTTTGCAAGTAGAACACGCAATGGGGAAGGCTCTCAGAATCGCTGATCAGCTGTCAAACCCCCAACTCTAGGCTATTGCTGACTTGGCTACTTCAACTGAGAAAAAGCAGAGCCTGTGGTTTTTAGCTTAAGTTGCTCTTTCTGCTGTGAAAAAAAAAGAGATGTTGCAGTGCGAGCGGATTGTACGTATGATAAATGCCAAGAGTGCAGTTGAATGTAGGGTTACAGCTCAGTGAGGAAGCCCAGACATTGTCTCAGATGTTGACAGAGTAGCTGTAGGAGCTCATAAATGCCACTGGAGCCCAGAGATTCAATTACAGCCGTCGCACTGCATGAAGGGCTATACATACAAGCACAAGCAGGGGATGAAAAATGGTTGCTTAAGTAGCAATCGAGGTGCAGCTTACTCATGAGCTGGATAACAGTAGCATGGAAAAAGCAGGATGGAGGAGAAAGGAAAAGCAGGACATGGACAAAATCAGGGGAAGAGAAACTGCATGTGTCTGCATCTCAGACTCCAATCTATTTTTTTCCTTTTTATGAGTTGCTTTAAAAGAATGAACAGTGGAACTAATGTGACCAAATCAAGCCCATGTGTGTGCAAGAACGTGGTGCTCAGGGAAGAGCCTGGCATCCCATCAGCCAGGCAGAGTGGAGGCAGATGGGACCAAGCATCTTCCAGGACAAACAGATCAGTCCTGCTCGTTTGTTCTTCCCACACTCCCTGTATCCTCCTTAGGCCTACTTCCAAAGAAAGCTTTGCAGTTACTGCCCTAAGTTATATTGCATGTGGAGGTGGAAGACATACCAGGGTGCGATTCCACTTTTCCAGGGATTTTCAAATCTCTGGAATTTAGGCCACTTCTTTACTGTTCACACAGTACCAGATGGGCGGCAGCTTTCCTACCACACAAGCAGGTCTGCAGTTTCAGCTCGAGTTCTGCCCCTCGAGTTCAGAATTGCCATTAACTTCATCAGAGGCAGGATTTCACTCAGCCAGACTGCTACAAGAGCCCTTGGCACATCCTTCATGCCTGCTCTTCTCTTTTACCTTTGTATTTTTGCTGTCTCACTTTTTTTAAAATATCATAGACTCATAGACTCATAGAATCATAGAATGGCCTGGGTTGGAAAGGAACTTTAAGATCATCTAGTTTCAACCCCCCTTATATCTTAGCTTAAAACCTCTGGCTTTGGTCTCACTTGACTTTCCCACTATTGCTGCATTTCTCTTCTATCTTTTTGTTGGGCTTGTTGAATGCTGCTTCTTCAGTTTTCTCCTCTTTGTTTGTAGTCTCTCTTCAGCCTGTTTTTTTCCCTATGCCATCTTCAGCAGTCACTCTATCAATGGCATTGTGTTTTGCTGGCCAGATTTCCAACTACCATGACATCTTCCTCCACCTTGGCTTGTCAGTCATCTTTGAGATTTATTTGGTAGGAGAGAAGTGATGAGCACAAAGGTGCTTTGTCCCTGTGTGTGCTCCATGAGCATCTCCAGGAACTGAACTGTGCATTGCCTTGAACTGTGCACATGTAAGGTTTTGGGATCTGACCACAGAATCAGAGAATAATTTAGGCTGGAAAGAGTCTCCAGGGATCACTTTGTCCAACCCCTACTCAGGACATGGCTAACTTAGAATTTAGAGCCAGCTTTGAAGTCAGAGCAGGGTCTTGTCCGGTTGAGTTGTGAATATCTCCAAATAGCTTCCAGTTCATCTTCTGCAAACTTTGTCTTAAGGCAATCAGCTAGAGAGGGCAGTTTCTAACAGCACAGCGGGGGGATGTGAAGGTAGAGTGGAGCCTTTTAGTTACAGAGAACTTTCAGGGCTGACTGTCAGGCTCTCAGCTGGTGGGAACAGTTACAGCTCCATCGCTGAGTTCAAAGGAATAAGACTCACCTGAGGCACTGACTCCATCCTTGAACTCAGGACTCCCAACAGACACAGCAGAGTAGAACTGGCCTTGACACTTCTACGCAGTTCAACTTCACCCATTCAACGTACCTATAAAGTGAGATGATTCAGCCCAGGGGAACTGTAGTAAAAACCTTTATCATAATTACGCTTCTAAGTAGTCTCACGAACCACACAAAAAAAAAAAAAAAAAAAAAAAGAAGGTAGTAAATAAACAAGATGACCCAGTTTAAAAGGCATTGTAGATCCTTTGGAGTTTTGTTATATCACCTCTGAAATGCAGCTCTGCAGGATTCATCCTGTTAGTGTGCATACTCCAGCTATGCTTGTGTAGTGGAGCACAGGTATGCGTTTTGGTGGTCTGGGCGGACAGCCAGCACACTTGCCTTAGATAAGAAAATGAAACCTGTGAATAAATAATATGCATTTTTCCATGTTGAAGGCTTCCCATCTCAGCTGGGCCACAGCACAGAGAGCGTATAAAGCTTTGTAATCATCTTTATTGCTGGTACGATGATAATAGATGTGACAGCAAGATGCATTTAGCTGCTACTGGGTGTGCTGTGCCCTGGTGTCAACCCCACTCATACAGCCACTGGAATTAGCATTTAATTCTGAGCACTGCTCCTTCCCCTTCCAGACAACTCCAAGCCATGACTGCAGTGAACCCACATTCTGCATGTGGGCAAATGCCTTAGCAGCAAATCCACCGTTTAAATTCTCCTTCCTGATTTCCCTGGGGAGAGGAGGCAGGGGAAGGCTTGGAGGTAAAAGCAACCATTAGAAGGAAGGTGTCCCTGCCCATGGCAGGGGGGTTGGAACTAGATGGTCTTTAAGGTCCCTTCCAACCCAAACCATTCTGTGCTTCTATAAGCTCTGTCCCTCCAGAGTCTGTGGCTAGTATGGGCACAGGGGAGCTGTGTGTGTTTTGTTATTTTAAGGGTTGTTCTGAAGAATAATTTTCTTTCCCCTTTCAGAAAACCCCGAGCGGGCTGCTCTGTATTTTGTCTCTGGAGTGTGCATTGGACTCGTCTTGACCCTGCTGGCCCTGGTGCTAAGGGTTTCCTGCCGAACTGACTGCAAACGCTCCTCCGCCAAAAAACCTCCTCGGGAGCGGGAGAGCGACAGCGACAGCAGCGACAGTGATGACGATTCGGACACCACTTCAGACCTGTCAGCCCGCAGGCACCGCAGGTTCGAGAGGACTTTGAACATGAACGTCTTCACTTCGGCGGAGGAGCTGGAGCGAGCTCAGCGGCTGGAGGAGCGGGAGCGCATCATCCGGGAGATCTGGATGAACGGCCAGCCCGACATCCCAGGGACCAGGAGCCTCAACCGTTACTACTAAGTGATGGAGAGCACAACCATCCTGCCCTGCTCCCTGGAGCTCCTCCACAGGCAATAGAGGAGAGAGAGGGAAGGAATACTACATGGGCATCGTGTCTCCTCTTTTCCTTTCAGTCATGCTACCTGGAGCAGTGTGGATGGACAGCAATAAAGCTTTCCCCGTCTGCTTCTCCTGGACATATTGCTATCACCCTTCTTCATGGACACTTTCTGGTTACAGCAAAGGTGGTTGCTGACTTCGTTGCTTAAGAGCAGGCAGGAAGGTGACATTTACAGTCCTCCCGTGTGGGACATGGAGCTTGGCATGCTGTGGTACGTGTGCTCCTCTCCTGGCCAGGGAGAGAAGTCGTCCAGGTTTTGGTGTTCATTTAGGACTTTTCGTTTTCCTTTTCCTGAGGACTGTGGGAGAACTGTGAACAAAATGACAAATCTGGAAAGATGATTTGGGAAGGGAGGGGGAGGTGCATCCTGACCGGTTGTCTTGTGACTTCAGAAGCCATGAGATTAACCTAATTAAAACCAACGGCAATTATGACTTGTTAAGAACTGGGGGTTGGGGGGAGAGGGATTCTTCCATCGTGAAATCATCTCGGTGCTTGGATGTTTGCCATAGTGTATTCAGTTATTTATGGCTGTCTTTTCATCTTCCTTTTCAATGGGAACATTTTTTTTTTTTTTTTTTTATTTTTTACTGACACCTCAGGGATACTATTATTTTTTTGAGTCTGTTCTCCCTGCTGGCCCCTGCCAAACAACCCAACCCACCTCCGACAGTGAAATTATGGTAATATAAGAGATGTGTCAGTGACTGGTGAGAAGTTAACAACCTCAAAGAGGTTGAAAAGGGTTTTCTTTTTGTTTTGTTTTAAATATATATA